TTAATTAAATTTATTTATGTGATAATAATATTAAAATTAATGTTTATTTTTATATTTTTTATATAAATTTATAACAAAAATATACCAAGGTACAACATAAAAAAATCCTTTTAAAATTTACCAAATTTTCTTAGTAAGAAATCAGAATTTTTCCATTCCACGTAATAGAGTATTTAGTTGGTAAATGTATTTATATAATTTTTATTTTATTGATTAAAATTTGATTTGTTAATTTTATTGATCAAAACTCCAATTTTCTTAATCTACGTTTGACCGCATTTGGAGTTGAATATTGATCAAAACCCTCTCGCATGTCATTAACTGTTAGATCTGTCTAAAAATTTCTTTCCTTACAATTTATAACTTCACCTATATGCATGATTGGTTGCAGCAAGAGATCACTATTCAAACATTTATCTATATCTGAATTCAAGTTATTAGTGCCTCGGGTTTAGTTGCTAAACTGAAAAAAAACGTCGACCTCTAAGAACTAATAGTATGGTGAGTTTTAAGCTATAGCATTATAGCATTATGGTACTCAGAGATTATATATTATGTAATTTTTTATTTTTTAATATAAATTTTTAATTTTTATAAAATAAAATAGTATTGTCCACGATCCTTTCAAGAATCATTTTTCTTTTTTTAGAATTTTTAGAATTATTTATGGTTCTATTTGGATTAACTTTTTTAATACAATTGATAGGTGATAATTGATATTTGATTGTCAATAATTATTGTTGTTTATAATTCAAAATATCTAATCTGTTTAATTAAAATCAATAACTGATAACTATTTTTAAAAAATTAAACCAAATACCCCTTAATATATATTTTTTCATATATATACATATGTATGCATATATTCATATGATTTTCCCAGCACTACTTTTTTTTAAACCATTTGGAAAACCGTTAGAAGATGTGATAAGCCCTTTTTAGAATTGTCCATAATATTTGTCAGGAAGGTGCTAATAATAGTCTTTTTGTAGCATTTTCTTTCAATGGCTTTATGAGTGGATACATGCATTTTGAATTTTAATTTTATGAATCTCGATTACTAGCGAAAGCTTATTGCTAAAAGTTAACATAATCAAAACTTCAATGATGATGGTTGA